AAAATGGAAATACTTTGCCATATTTGGGCAGGGGCAGCATTATTTTTTTAATTCCGGTCTTGATAGAATTCAAAATCATTTGCTGGAGAAAAATTATTTTCCAATCAAAACATCTCTCTCTTTTTCTATCTCTATAAATCTTCTCATGGACGAGATGTTTTATGAGTCTCTCAATATATTTATCGCTACTATTAAAAGTAAGTGCTCGGACGAACTGCATGCCTTAGAATACACTAGGTCTACCCTTTTTTACCAGGACCCGACGTGCCACTTACAAAGTAGCAAACCATCTACATTCTCCCCGTATTTCATTGATTTAGTTCCACTCAAACAGCTTCTTCCTGCGAACCCTGTGGAACAGATTCCACTACAATCTTAAACTGTTCAAGTCTAGATTTAACCTTTATCTTCCCTCTTATATCCATATATATAAGAATAAAATAACGTAAAAAATCTACCTCTTAATAGTGACTGCCAGGCCTTGTACAGGATGAGCCTTCCTCTAAAAAAATCGGGATGAAACCTGTACTAATGTTGGTCTTTTGTAAGATGGGCGTAAAGCAGACTTTCGAAAACGTGGATACATGTACCTGGCAGCCAAATGAACAAAACCTGTCAGGTTGCTATGTCGGCGGACCACAAAGTTCTTTTAGATATAATCATTTTTTTTTTATGAAAATAGGTAGGTTATTATCAATTTAAGTAATAGGTTAAGGAACATAATGAGCCAGTGCCAAAAGCACTGGGATCGGGATGCTTTGAAGGCCTACAAAGACTTGTATGTCGCGGAACGGAAATCAGAGACCCTAAGCAGTTATGGTCTAGGACCGGTTCTCAGGTTGTTTTCAGCGTCTACATGATATTGTGCAAATTAATTCAAACAAACCGAATAATCCCGTTATTATTTACTTTTTTTTCGTAGTTTTCCAATGAAACATGACCCAGTGCACATGTTAATACTTTGTATGTCCATTCCACGAAGTCTTGCCTTGAACATTGACCATAGATTCTCGATTGGATTTAAATCAGGAGAGTTTCTGAGCCAGTCGATAGGACTTTGATTTGCTCACTAGTAAAGCTTATCATTAATATGTTCGTGCAGCGTTACAATTTTTGTACGCTTCCTTGGAGTAACATCCATAGCAAACAATGGTCGTAGGACAACTAATCGACAGTCGAGATAATAGTGTCTGGGCGTGATGAAAATCTGATGCAATCACGGATGACGCAATATTTTTCAAAGCCAAACAAATTTCATCATACACCCCGAAAATAAATTCATATTATTGCACACCACTGCAAATGACATAATCTGAGGAAAAAATAGAAGTCTGTTACACCTTAATACTGAGCGTATGGTAAAAGAAAGGAAAATAAAGCGGTTGTTTCAATTAATTTGCACAAGAGTGTAAATGACTGAGACTCAGCAGTCAAGTTCCCTATCATATTTCAAGACCTTCCCATCAGCAGAAAGCGATCTTCGACTACTGAGTCAAGCAGTCATAAATGAAGTCTATTTTACTGACAACTTACAGACCGTCTGAAGTTATTATGGAAATCACACAACACTGAATAACCCAAATTTGCTTTCAACTATCTTTGTCAAACTGTACAAATTGCTGGTAGTCTCCATTCCCCATATGGATGTATAACGTGGACCCTGTTGGCAGAAACAGAGAGAAGAATCTAAGCGTTTGAGAACAAATGCATGAGAAAACTCCTTGGCATCTTTTATTGAGAGCAACAAAAAACAATAATGAGGAAAAGGGTTGAACATTTTGTGGGCCACCAGGAACCTCTTCTCACCACTGTCAAATGGAGAAAAATGGCGTGGTTTGGACACATTACAAGGTAGGACAACCTAAGCAAGACCATCATGCAAGGCAACTTTGAAGGTGGATGTAGGAGACATCGCCAATGCAAAAACTGGTTGGACAATGTCAAACAATGTATGACTATACCAGAATTGCTGTTGGCTGGGGTTGATAGACCGTTGTGGAAAAGAGTTAGTGTGGCTTCTTCGTTTGGATCCTCCACTACGATTACAAAAGTCAAAATGATGATGATATCTATCTATCTATCTATCTATCTATCTATCTAACATTACAAGGCACGACTGCCTGTGCCAGGCCATCATACAAGGTACATTGAAGGTGGACGTAGGAGAGGATGCCAACTCAAAAACTGGTTGGACAATGTCAAACAATAGACAGGTATGACTTTACCAGAATTACTGATGGCTGCCGTTGTTAGACGGTTGGGGGAAAAGACTTAGTGTGGCTTCTGACTTCAGACCCGCCTTACGATTACAAAAGTCAAGCGGATGATGATGATGATGATGATGATGATGATGATGATGATGATGATGATTTTTCATATTTTAAATGATTAGTTTGGACATCAAATGAAAGCGTGAGTTATTTTTTTAGGTAGTTTTAACATGTCTTACTGAAGTTATTGGGTTTCTTATAAAAACTGCACTCGGAAGTTATTATACAGATTAGACTAATATGTCTGAAATCTAATAAAACCTGTTTCTTATTATGTTTTTCTATAACACAGTCGTCCCTCGTTTATCGCGCTTAATCAATTCCAGACCCTACCGCGATAAGTGAATTTTCGCGAAGTAGGATTATTTATAAATCAAATATTTTCGTAGTTAGAGCATAGAATAACCTGTTTACGACCTAAAAAAATCGACTTTTGACATTATAAGAGCTCTCTAGGCATGAAATAACATCCCTGTAGTAACCTTTACACTTATGTTACCCAATATATTTGACAAAATAAAACATATTAGACGTTACTAATATCATATTTTTATTCTACATAAAATCGCACAGAGTTCTTATGTGTACATCGCTTCATCATCGAAAAAAATGCATTATTTTTCTAGGTTTGCGTAAACCTAGGAAAATAATGCAACTTGTTCAATGGTGAAGGGATGAAGAGATGTACTGCACAACAAAGGTTACTGTTCTTCCTAAAATCATTTGCATAAAACCCTTTTTTATACCTTGGAAGAACTGAGAAGCATAATTTGATGTTTTCTTTTCAGTGCCTCGTTGAAATCAATTCTCCTATTTGCATAAATATATTTGTATGTTATTTTGCTTTTGTTGACCAAAAAATAGAATTTGGCTTTATTTTAATCAAATACTATTGCCTTGTTGTCTTCTGCTCGGTTCGTTGTCAACTTAATAACTACTAAACAGTCGTGTTTGACTGAGTTTTGGTACAAAGGAGTCCACAAACACATAACTAACAAGTAATCCACAGCACCCCCCACAACAATAGTAGACCGTTGTCAACCGTGAAGCAACAGGGAACCGCGATATGAATATTTTTCATGAAAAGATCTGAAAAAAAAAACCTGAGGCTGCCAAAGTCGAATAGCAAATTTGCGAGGAACGACTGCATATGTTGAAGAGGAGGACCCAGGCTAAGCGCAACCAACCCCCAAAACCACAACCGCAAAACAAGCGGATGTCGATTACAACAGATCTCAAAGGCTGAACCAGCGAATGAAAAGGGCTACGCATGACGGATATGCTACAGAAGGCGTCACTCGAGTCAGCAGCAGTCGGTTGAATGATGGCATGCCTACATCGGAAATAGCAAAAGAGCTTCGGTTGGATGATGAAGAGAGCTGTTGAAAATATACGTTGAGAACTAGAGGCAAAGGAAGAGGATTTAAGAACTTGTCTCCTTGAGATGAACATAAACTAAAGCGAGTTATAGCGAAGCAACCACTTTTGACCAGTGCTCAGATCTTCGAACAGGATGTAAATTGAGGCAGTCAAGAAGGACAAAAGATGTAGAATACATTGAAAATTGGGATCTGTCAAGAAATCTTGGTAAACTCTTATTTTAAAGTGTCAAAATTGGACCAAAATATACATTCTAAAGTAATTTTCCCGGACGAATCTCGGGTGACACTCGATGGACCTGATGGATGGGCCAAAGGATGGATTTTATCCGATGCAGATGTGCCTGTGGCTAAAAGACGGTAGCAAGGGCGTGGCAGTGTGATAGGGGCTGAAACTGTTGGCCAAACCATTATTGAACCATTCAAAGTCTATGGAGAAACTAAAATGAACAGTGCCAACTATTGCGGTTTCATGGACGGTTTCTTTGAATGGCACAAGTCCAAGACTCGCAGTTTCAAAGTGAAGTGTGTATTTATGCAAAACAACATTTCTACTCGTGTATTCAAAGTTACACGCGATTGTTTTGAGCATCAAGGTTTGCTTGCTTTATTTCTTACTTGGCTTCTGACTGCTTGATTTCTTGCTTGCTTTCTTGCCTACTTGATTACTTTTGCTTACTTGATTGCTTCAATGCTTGTTTCATTGCTTCCTTGATTGCTTGCTTGCTTCATTGCGTGCTTGTTTGCTTATTTACTTTATTGCTTTTTGATTGCTTGCTTGTTTTATTGTTTCCTTGATTGATTGCTTGTTTCAATGCGTACTTGCATGATTGATTGTTTGCTTCATAGCGTGCTTGCTTGACTGATTGCTTGATTGATTGCTTGTATCATTGAGGGCTTGGTTTATTGCTTGCTTCATTGCTTGCTTACTTCATTGTTTGCTTCATTGCTTGCTTGCTTCATTTCTTGTTTGCTTGCATTATTGCTTGATTGCTTGCTTGTTTCATTGCGTGCTTGCTTCATTGCTTGTTTGATTGATTGCTTGCTTTATTGCGTGCTTGCTTGATTGCTTGCTTCATTGATTTTCGTTTTCTACGGCTTATCAACTCTTTGCAGGCTATTTAAAGCCCGAAAATACTTTTAGATTGAAAAAGGTTCTTTGGAGATAATAATAATTTAGTGATACAAGACTTACTAATTAACCCATAGCTGGAGGAGAAGAGGTGGATTCGTACCTTTCCCAAGCATATTTGCGCGTAAGTGAATATAACGAACCCAACCAGAATTGGAACTCGGCTCTCTGATTAACAATTCCGATCCATTAACAAATAACACCACACGCACACCCAAGCTTACAGCACCTGGTATACCCAAGCCGTCATCCATCTAGGTACTGACAAGGCTCGACGTTGCTTAACTTCATTAATCGTACGGGAACTGATGCTTCAACGTGTTTGATATTGATAATGCGAACAATATAAGTGATTTTCAAAAGTCAAAACAAAGTGTTAAAACCAAAAAAAAAAAAAAAAAACGATAAGATTTCGTAAGAAACTAAGGAGAAAGCGACATTCTAAGAGAACTAGTAGTCCTACCGGGATTTATTATTGGTCGGGCACAATTTTAACAACATAATATATGCAGATGACAGTCTGTTGAATGCGGGAGTTAGCAAAAGGAATTATGATGAAGAATCAAGAAAGTACTGACATTGAACTATTTGGTTAGAAGACGGAAAATGTGAGCCGAAATACGAAGGCGTATGGGAAGACGAAAGATGTATTCTAAAAGCTTAAAAAAGTGTCAGGAAACAGAAGAATTTCGGTAAAAAAGAAAAAAAAAGAGCAATATCATAAGAGAACTAGCAGTTCTACCAGGATTTTATTATTGGCGGGCAAAATGAGAACAGCGTAAGATAGGCAGAAGACACGAAGTTGAATGCGGTCACGGACTGAAAAGGTGGACACAATCATAAGATAGGCCGATGACACGGTGTTGCACGCGGACACGGGCTGAAAAGGCGAGCACAATCATAAGACATAAGATAGGCAGATACCACGCTGTTGCATGCGGCCACGGACTGAAAAGTCGGACACAGTCATAAGACATAAAATAGGCAGATGATTGGGTGTTGAACGCGGAAACGTACTGAAAAGGCGGATACAATCATAAAACGTAAGATAGGCAGATGACTCGATGTTGAATGAGGATACAGACAGAAAATTGCAGGAACTACTAGACAAGGTAGTGAGGGATAGTAAGAAGAATAGACTAACTATCAATTGTAGTCGATAGTAAAAATGTAAGAAAATGTGACACAGAAATCCGAAGTTTATCGTCATGGCAAATATCTACCGGGAGTCGGGTGGGGGGTTCTCATGAATATCTTACAGACGGTGTCTAGTGATCATACTTCATCGGGTATGCCAACATCGAGTCCCTGTATCCATCTAAGCGTATCCTCTCTCTATGTGCCGTGTCTCCTCAGAGGGATGGCGGTCATCCTTCTATATAGCTTCCCTCAAATATCTATAAAGGTTTCCCCGAGAGAGAAATATGAACTTGGAGCGGGGGGGGGGGATTTTATTGGTGGTCATGGATCGGGTTTCCTTTTATGAAGAAAAGGGAGTAACGAGGTATAAATCCTTTTTTATACACTTTAGTTTTAAACTCCTTGTTTTTATTTCAATACAAAATACAAAATCTCTGTGGTCGGAGATACTTACTGGCGATGTTTCGACTATTACCAAATGGCATGATCAGTGCCACTCCTTCCACCGATCGGCTTCATGTTCTCTTCTTCGTCTTTTCCTCTACGTCATGCCGAAATGTGCCTGGATATTCTGGTTCAATGAAAATCCTATTTTTAAACAGCCCTCAATAATCCAGGTACGTTCACTTTCCGGCAAGAATAAAACACAGTTTCTAACTTAGCTTTGAGTCTGTTCTTTTTTTCTTTCTCCACTATTGTTCTCCCATGAAGCTACTTTACCAGCCCACCTTCCACACCACTTGAACCCGCTAAATCACTCTCTTCAGAGCTTCTAAGGAACCCCTACTTCTCTGCACCCGTTCCCCATGTTTTTGCCTCCCTGTTTCTTATCCATTAAGATTTATAAAGCGTTATGGCGTGTGGAAACGCGCAGGTCCGGAAGTAGAATTTTCTCCCGCATCATTGACGATACACGTAACATTCATTTCTACCCACCTACCCGGAGACAGACCACTTAAGCATGGGAAAGAAAAGAAGGGAGTAAAGTGGGAGGGAAGGAAATAGAATTATGGAGGGACAAAGAAAAAAAAGAGTAAAAGGAAGGACGAGAGAATGGGGGGAAAGTAAGAGAGAGAAGGGCGGGAAGAAAAGAAAAGAAAAGAGAGAAAGGAGAAGAAGAGAAAGAGGAGAATGAAGGAAAGAAGGAAGGGAAGACAAAGAGAAAGAGAGTAAAAGGAAGGAGGAGAGAATGGGGGAAAGTAAGAGAGAGAAGGGCGGGAAGAAAAAGAAAAGAAAAGGGAGAAAGGAGAAAAGAGAAAGAGAAGAATGAAGTAAGGAAGGAGGGAAGACAAAGAGAAAGAGAGGGAAGAATGAGAGGAGGAAATACAAGGGAGAGAGGAAAGGAGAATGTAAAAGAGGCACCGAAAAGAAAGGAAAAAAATGAAAGAACAGAGGAGAGAAGGAAGTGAAGAGAGAGGGACAGAGAAAGCAAAGAAATAAACGGAAAGAAAAAACAGAAAGAAAGAAAGAAAGAAAGAAAGAAAGAAGATAAGGAAGAGGAGAGAATGCAAGACAAAAGAAAGTGAAAAAAAATAAAAGAAAGAGAAAAAAGATGTTAAAAGAAAGAAAAAGAAAGAGAAACAGAAAGAAAGAAAAGGGTCTTCTCCCTCCAGCTATGGGTAAATAGTAGGACAGACTGGGTTCTATACTGGTATCCACTAAAAATAGCATTTGAATTAACACACACCTACAGTAAAAGACACTGTCCGTTTATTCACCCCATATGACCCCATCACTTCTCCCCCAGTGATGGAGGAGAAGAGATGGCGTCATATCTGTCCCAAATTGTATTTGCACTTAAGTGGATGTAACGAACCCGACTGGAATTCGAACTCGGCTCTCAGGTTTACAATTTCGAAGCACTATCCATTACACCCCCAGCGTACATAGAATAATGATATTCATTGATTTTCCTTAAGTTCTTAATGGATAGCGGCTTGGATTGAGAAATCGCAGAGCCGAGTTCGAATTCCAGTCGAATCCATTACATTCACTTACGTGCTAATACCCATGGGAAAGGTGTGAATCCTCTTCTTCTCCCTCCAGCTATGGGTAAATAGTAGGACAGACTGGATTCCAGAGCCTTGAATGGCAACTAGTCTGGGAGGAGGACAACTCTGAATTCAAAACCTGCGGAGGGTCGTTTGGGGACCTTGTGGCACGTAGTGCACCAGGTCTCTGTATTCGGCCCTTCAAAAAGTGTGGATGGTCCTGCACGAAACCTTCACCACTATAATCAAATCTCATGTGCTGTTGTCGGGCTGTCGGTTTCCTGGGAACTGATCTGCTTGACCCTCATACGTCGAATTCGACGGGAGAGTCGACTATATATATATATATATATATATATATATATATATATATATATATATATATATATATATATTACACAAACACTTAAAAAACATAGTCCCAATGTCAGTTAATACAGCTGAGACAACACACCATTTCCTTTCCTACACGATAACAACTTAATATCTTTCTTTCCCCGACTCTCTCAATATGAAACCACTATTCTTAATTTTTAAACCTAGAGTAAATTTTTACATTTTCATTTGGTTTACAGGTCTGAAAGATTTAAATGTAAGCCGTTTTTTTTTAAATTTATCGACGTCAATGAAATAAATAACCTGTTTTTTTTTTCTTTTGTTTTCTCATTATATATTTCTCTTTTTTTAAGTCCCATAAGGTAGGATGTGGGCTAAATAGAAATTTAATGATAGACAATCCAAATTTCAGGCTCGACAAAAATTTCCCGCAGACCCTGCATAAAAAATTTTACCTCCTCGGACGAGACTCTGCCCTTCGCAAATCGTTATCGCTTCGCAAAAATTAAGATATATTCACTACTTGAAATACTTTGGAACAAAAAATTTTAAAATGAACATTTCATTCATAAATTTTTATACCTTTAGTTAGGGAAAGTTTTTACAAATAGATGCCAACTTGTTGGAGGCAATTTATAAAATTTCAAAAATTTTCTGCACTATATAAAAAAATATTCCTAAACAGAACTATTTTTTCCTGATGAAAATTAAAAATTTCATTTAAAAAAATAGTAATGAAATGACAAAGCAATCTTAAAATTTATCTTTTTTCAAAATCAATATGCAAATTATTTAAACCTGAAAGTGATATTTTTTTTTTTTTATTTACATAATGTTTTAGATATTGCGTTTTAATGCGTTAATCTGGGGCTTTTTCGTTTCAGAAGTCGTAAAAGAATTGAAAATCCAATTTCGTAATTATTCATAAATTCCATAATATATTTTTAATTAATTAATATTATGTTTTTGTAACTCTTCAAAAAATTTATAACTAAAAAATTTCTGTTTTCACATCTTTACAAAATATTAATTTTATCTTATAAATTGGCCCCATTTCTGTCAATTTTGAGTTATTCTTTAGTTTATTGATGCCATATCGAATCAGCATACTCCTCTCTAGCTATTGTGATGATGGTCAAACCAAAATCCTCCAACAGGGGCTATTTAAAAATATTTATATTGATAGAAGGGCTTTATAAAAAAGTTTATAATAAAAATAATTCGGATATAAAAAAAAAAAAAAAAATAAGAGTTTTTTTCCAGTCAATTTTTACCTTGAAAAACAACGATAATGGCTAGTATAATATATTAATATATTTTTTATAAACCTGGCAATATTAATTGAATATGAGCTCAAACGAAAATCGTCCCTTTATATAATATTTTCTAGGGCTTTTAAAATTCATTTATGAATCATTGCAATTAGACCAGTGGGTGGAAAGGTGGAAATGACTCGTTTCTATAAAACGCACAAACACACATTCACTGTATATATATATATATATATATATATATATATATATATATATAAATCATTCTTCAAATATAAAAAAAAAATTCATTAATGATCTAATCCTTAAAATATTTAAAATTTTCTTTCAATAAACTGTTTTAAAAATGGTCACTTTTATGTTTTAATAAAAATGTCTAAGAGGTCTACTTTACCGAAACGTTAAAATTGATTGAAACAACATTTGAAACAGCATATATAATATTTTAAAATTTTGTTTTTATATATTTTTATGTATATTCAACTATAACATATTTGCTACAATTTACACACACACATATATATATATATATATATATGTATGTATATATATATATATATATATATATATATATATATAT